ATTATTTTTTATTTAAAACCTTATGATAAATTTTAACAATTAAAAATAAATAAATTAATTATCAAGATTTTATGTAAATTTAATGTATAAAATTTATCTATAAGTAAATCCATACTCTTACTAATATATAAGAAAAAAAAAAGTTGAATTAACTTTTATCTACTGTTTAATTAAATCATTTTTTTTTGACATTAGTGTTAAAAATAAATTTTATTTTTACAATTTAGGTTTTTCTTATGACACAAAATAAAAGTGTATTTATTGTACATTTTTGTTATAAATATATACAAATATAAAATTAATATTAATTGTAATATTAGTTAAATTTAATTAAATAATTGATAAATTAAATATTAATTTTTATTCTTTAATATAAATTGATGATAAAAAATATATTTAATACAATCCTAAGGATAGATAAACCCTTATTGTTTTTCATACAAATTAATAATAAAATATGCAATAAATGCTCCTTAAAAAATGAAAATGCATAATTAATGTCAATTTTAGTCTTTTAACTTTGAATTTTGCACCGTTTTCATCCCTTAAATATTTTAAACAATTTTGAGACTAAAACTGTATGTATATTATAAGTTTAACAATTAAAAATATGTATATTTTGAAAGACTTAACAAATTAATTGACAGAAAAAAATATATATTTTTTAAAGTTAAAAAATAAAAAAGTGTAAAAAAGGTTGGGAGACAAAATAATTATCTTTATTAAAGATAAATATTTATTTTTTATATTTATTAAAAATAATTATCTTTTTATTTAAAAAATTATGATAAATTTTAACTTTTAAAAATTAAGAAATAAATCATTAAGATTTTCTTGTATTTCCACTTAGCAAGTAGAATTTATCTTCCCTTTATTTGGAATTGGAGGTCCAATCTGCAAGGAAAAAGAAAGACCATTACTGAAGACCCCATTGCCTGCTATCACTGGCCCTGAAAAAGCAAAAAAGAGATGATGTGCAGTCTCTTACCTCCTGGTTTTTTCCATCTAATTTCATGAGTGTTTTACCTTGGTCATAGATTTTTTAATTGCATGGTACCTATGAAATTCATTTGTTTTTCTTCAATAGGATTATGATGGTCATTGCATAGACAGAATAAAAGAGTACAATAAAACCGTTCATTCCATCAAGACGCGATTTGCTTTATTTAATTTTATTTAAATATCAATAATATCAATAGAGGGATGCAGATCTTGGCTCTCATTTTTTTTTCTGGAAGAAAGCGAAGCTGCTTGCTTCTTTCCTTTTCTTTTTTTTGTCTTTTTTGTCTCTCTATCTACTATTTTCTTTGTATTCCCACTTAGCAAGTGGAATTCTCTCCCCTTTATTTGGAACTGGAGGTCCCATTGCAAGGAAAAAGAAAGACAATTATTGAAGACCTCATTGCCTGCAATTATTGACCCTGAAAAAGCAAAAGAGAGAAGATATGCAGTCTCCAACCTCCTGGTTTTTTTCATCTAATTTCATGAGCATTTTTTTTTCTTGGTCATAAATTTTTTAATTTCATAGTACCTGTAAAATTTTCTTCGTTTTACTTGGAAGGTCCCATTTGCATTCATTTGGAGGCCCGGTTCCCTGAGGCATCTTTTGTTTTTTTGTTTAAAAAAAAAAAACTCTTTATTTTCCTTGACAATAATCCCATTTATTAAAGTCAAACTCTTTTTCTGAGGGCAAAACATCGGTACCACTCACAACTACCATCCTGATCCACTCCAGGACAAGACTCAAAATTCGCCTGATCAGCCCGGTAAAAACTTTTGTTGGGCCCCATTTGCAGCAAAGCCCCAAACCATTCACATATGGGCTGCTGCTTGGGCTCAGGCCCTTAGGAAAAATACTAACTTGTGGGGTAATATTCTGCCGCAAGGTACATAACATTGTGTTGGTCCTGACTTCTCCTTTCATCCCCCGTTACAATTTGGGATGTCCAATTAATGGCTTTGTGTGATTAAGAGAAAGGATTCTGAATTAAAATATTAAGGATCATAATAAAAAAAATTTAAATAATTTAAATAAATTAATATGTTAAAAAAATTATTTAAAATATTTAAATAATTTTATTTATGTTTTTTAATGTCTTAATTTTTGTTTTTTTAATAAATAAATTTAAAAAATAATGGATATCAATTTTGACCCTAAAAAAAATTAAAGTTATAACATTAATTATGAGAGTTTATAAGCTAACCATTCAAAATTAAATTGAACTTGAGTTAAATTTTTAGAATCTACGTTCATAACTTTTTATTATCTGATTCATGATTTTCTAATTTTGTTGCCTAAGCATTGTTGATTCCTTTCATTGGAATACCTTTCAGGGCATTTTTACTATAACGGAATTAATAACAGTGGCTAGTAGGGCTTAGCAGAAGCCTCCCATTTTTTTTTTAAATTAGTAAAATTAAAATGAGATTTGCTATATCATAATGTTAGAGTAAATGTCTAAATTGAGATCTCAGCTTTTCTCCTCTAACATATTTGATAATTTAATTTTCAATTGCTCAAAATCAAAAACCAATGGAGTTTGATCCCATTTTTCTATTTCGATTCCCCATTATCTGTTGCGTGTGGACAGCATACCCTAAGCCTTTGCAAAACAAATTGGTGTAAGATAAAATAAACAAGAGTATCGACAACGACGTTGTAGTATCTACACACAAAGCATTTTTAGCTTTGAAAAATTTTATTTTTATTATACGTCCAAGTTTTCTTAATGGGATTTTCTTAAATTTTAGAAGATATTTAGTTAAATCAGATTTGAGAGATCCTGCAAATCGAGAAAGAGATGACAATAAGAAATTTAACATAAATAAATTAAAATTGAAGATTTTATATCATTAAATTAATTTTATTTGTATTTAAATTTTATCTTATGATATTAAGT